AGACCTTATCTGTCAGCACGTTTTACAATATTCTCGGTTGTGATTCTGCCATGTTGAAAACACCAGTCACAATCATCACTCTGTCCCCCTGAATAATTTGGCCCGTCCCAAGAATCTCTATTCTTGTCTCTTTGCACGAGGAGGAAAAAAAAAGAAAGTTAAAAGCTGTACGAGTACTGAGTGGGTTAGTCAATAGGGCTGCAGATCGACTTCTCAGGAGTGCAGTTCCTCGACACCAATCAAGACCCTGGTCCGCCGAAGGTGCCTGCTCAATGTCGGCTGATGATGAGACAGTAGCCAAGAGCTGGACTCTCTTCGGCACAATCGGGCTCTCCTGACCGACCAAGCAGAATTTTGCGTCAAAGGGAGGAATGATGGCATAACGATGGCTGGCTAGAATTTGGTGGGCTAGACGCCACACCAGGGTTTAGCGACGCACGCCGAAAAACAAGAACTTCGGGCTGCGGTAAGTCGGTATGTGCAAGGGACAGTACCAAGTACTACTGGAACGGAGTCGGGGCCTTGGCTTGCGGTCTCATGCACTCGGACGTACGAGTGGCTCGCACCATGATCCACCAATCTGTCACGGCTGTACTTGTAATTGTAAGTACCTGTTACAAGTACCCATGCCGAGTACCACTGGTACCTGTAACCATCCCTTCTGTATGGCACTCGTAAGCAAGTCGCAAGGCCTCTCGTCCAATAAGCCGAAGACCAAGTTGAAAATGTCCCCTCCAAGCATGTGCGGCTCTGCCCGTAGTCGCGGCCCTGTCGGTGTTTCAGGTTGTCCCCGATAGGCAGGCGATGGTGTTTCTATCCAAGTTAGTACGAGGTACCCCAGTATTACTGGGCTTTTGTTGTGGCTACTTTAGCTGGACCAGGCGCCAGGGGACTGCAAAAGCACTGACGCGTCCAAACAACAAGTGCTTTGACTATCCATACTCAACTCCAGACGTTCTCGAGTACTCGTGTGTCTGAGCAATTAGGAACGGGCGGTACACGGATTGTTGCTCGCTGTTCGTCCCCAACTGCCTCGCTTCGTCGCAACCAGGAATTTGTTGTGTGCGTCGATCATGGCACCGCACATCGAAATATTCCAACAGCAACGGACCCTGGTATAGGTAGGTACTCGTAATCATGGGTTTAATATCTCATTCCTTATCCTAGCAAGGACCAGGGCGGCAATATGGACTCCGTAATCACATCGAAGACGATTCGTCCACAAAAGCCCGAAATCTATCTGCTCCACCCTCGTCAAGATGATGATGACTCCTGAACAACCCACATTCGCTTGCAGCAAGTGGATTGGCAAATTTTAATCATCCTTTGGGTGTCATTGTCCCTCGCATGGTTCGCGATTGGGTCAATGAAGCAGGATGCGACAGTCGGGCAATGATGTTCGAATACAGTACAGGTGTACTCGGTGCTCGTAGTTGTCTCAACTGGCTCGGGTTGCGTGTGGGATAATTGACATGTGCACTGGTACTCGCACATAGAGCCACCATCGGCACCAAGTCGGTCACACCCAAAACAGGAGGGGCTTGAGGGGCAGAGAAGAAAAAGAAGGGAAAGTGTCTACCTAGCTCGCAAGTACCTACATCACACCAACCTCGGAGATGGTGCTATATTCCAGCTCGACGTCGTCACATCACCAGGGTTGAAGATGACTTGATCGACACTCGACCTGTCACCACCGTCCTCCTGCTATCTCAATAGTGGTTCCTTAATAAGGTCGATCGTCAGCCTGGGGGAATTGGATGTTTCTAGCTCCGGGTGTCAGACGACATCAGAAACCCGCTGGGAGCAGGGTAGATTCCGATGCAGTCGAAGACGACGACGCGGTAGCACTAATTATCCTTGAAAAGTAATCGGAAAAGAGGCAATGGTCATGGTGGTAAATCGACAAAGTCAAGTGAGATGGGACAAGAGGCTGTAAAAGATTGTTCTAACTCACAGACTGACTCTAGTTCTACCACACGAAGCCCATATCATTGCTCTAAACGCCCAGAGTAGTATTTCTAGATGTTTCATCTCATGAAAATCTCGTCGAGCCCTTTCATATCTGCCAACACCATTTTCTTGGCCTGGATGTTGCGCCCTCTAAGCAAATGTCGCCCAGTCTTCATCACCGTCACGCTCTGCCTGGTCGAAGCTGATATCAAAGTCGATACTGACGGGCTCCTGTCTCCAGCGAGGGCATTGTCGTTGGAAGACTTTTGCCTTCGTCTCTCTTCACTGGTTTGTTGCTTGAATGCTTTCACAACCTCGTCGTCGGACGCAGTAGAGGACACAGGCTCATCAGGTGGTTGAGCCAGAGGCGACTTGTGCGCCGAGAGGACTTGGGTGTCGTCTTTCGTTCTTTTCGCAGCCTTTTTCAGCGCCTTTTCTTCCCTGCGTTTCCGCCTCTCTTCTTTCCGCCGTCTCTTCTCCTCTTTCATTCTCCGTTGCTCTTCGTGCTCGTTAATCATGCCTTTTTCTCGCCCTTGCGACGGTGACTCAGCAGGGTGCGTATTATCCTCTGGCAAACGCTTGTTGCCTGCTTTATCTTTCACCTTCCCTTCCTGTACTGTCTTCTCTTCCTTCTTGCCAATAGTCCCAACCAAGACCCCGCCTTTCACGAAAATCATCCCACCCCATCTTCCGTGAGCATACATTGCCAATTTCCTGTCTTCAACCTTCTTCTCCTCCTGCTTCAGCACCTCATCACTCTTACCATTCAGCCGCCCTAATAGACCCTGAAATGCGTCCAAACCGGTCCTCTGTTCCTCAACCGCCTCCCTCCCGCTTTTCCTCTTTGCACCCAGCCCTAAATTGTCGTCTTTAAATATTACACCCACATTTGCGGCGGCAAGGCGTTCTGCATCGCTAGGAGCACCAAATTTGGAGGTCGTGGTGCGGTTACCGAGGGCTTGTCCTTGCGACCACCCTTGTTGGGTCATAAGGCGGTGACCGTAGGAGGTTGCAGAGGTCTGAGACGACCACGCGAGGTTCCGGGGGTCATGGGAGAGTTTTTGCCTCCTGTCGATGGCAGTTAGATTTGACCCAAAGACGAGAACAGGCGGAAACACTGAGAGCAGGTCTCTTCCTATTTTGTCACCCGAGATAGCTCATGTTCGGTATTGGTTAGAAGAGGAAGACACATACTTTCTCGGCTCTGCTAGACCCATCTTCGACCGCAACCCCTGGCCATGTAGCGCTCCAAACTGGGCTTGGACTGGAATGTAGAAATATCAGTCAATGCGCCCGATGTGGCATCTCTGAATTTCGAAAAATTTATAGTTTGCATTTGGTTGTCTTATAGTCCGCCGTAGAAGTTACCCGTACGGCAGAACACACCTGGTCCGATATGATATTCCATAGCGTCCACCTCGACAGCCCTTTTCTTCTCTTACGTCTATTGAGTTTACTCGGTACATGTACGTGCATGCAGTGCTTCCTATTTCCTCCCTCAAACAAGGCTGTTTGGGACTGTCTGGGAATGTTAAATCTCTGGCCCAAGTACCTACGCTACCAATCTACTCACAACGACAAAAACCGTCACAGCGTCGTGACTCGGAGGTGTCCATTACCGTCATGGAATGGTGCGAACCAGGCGAGCCAACTGTCCAGTATTTTTCCGCGGAAGACTACCTTCAATCTCATCCGCGGGGAAGTCCTGTCGAGCCACCCAATATGTCCTAGAGCGTTCAGCTTCAACAAACGGATTGCGAGAGAGTTGAGGTGGTAGATGACGCCAGAGATTGGGAAAGGCTGGGCGACAAAGGGTGCAACCTCAGTCTTCGAAACATTGATATCTTGTGGTGTGGGGTTGTGGACTGGTCACAGAAAACAGAAACACATTCCCAACGACAGCAAGCACATAGGCGACCCTTTGGCGTAAAAGGGAGGAGAGCAGACTCTTTAGTCACGACGACTCACATACGCTGTTGATCTCACCAGTTGATCTCTGAGGGCTTCCTCCCGTTGCTTCATCGATTGCTGAGTATTTCACATGGATCAGTCAACCCTGCGCAAAGGTCACGACCCTGGCAAGGTTTGTTCTCGCTTGCGGCAGGACTGAACTGAGGGCAATTATAGTCAAATTGTTCATGGCTCGCGAGACTTGCACATCATCACGCAATGGATTCATGTCACCATGATATGCTGGACACACAACTTCACTTATTCAATGAAGCAGGCCTAGAAATGCTTGATGACGGCATTCGGCTTTTCCTTGACCCCTCTTCACGCGAGCACGAAGGAAGCGGGCAACTGACGCGTTTGAGTTTCGATATTCCAGACGAACGAGTAATTAGGACCCTGCATGTCAGTTCTCTATGTGGGCAAGCTGCCCGGAGATTGGAGATTATGAGCTTGTCAATAACCTGGCGCCGTTGTCTTGTCCTAAATCGGTCGCATCAAGCGGGAGTTTGTCCCGATCTACCTACCTAGGCAGTTGAACATTGAGCTCAGGGGGTTTCCCTCCAAGAAATTCTATATATGGTTGGACGCAGGGTACTCGTCCACATGCAAACCACAGTGTGCGGAGTATTCACTCATTCAATCGGATTCAGAATAGCCAAATGCTATCCCTGCTTCCCATTAGCGCCGGCTGCTCGAATACGGTATGGCGACAGTGGAACCCCTAGTACCTTTCGAGACAAAGGCTTGATCAACAAAAAGGGGTCTTGGGGCAATTTCAAAATGGCCCTCGTACCGACCCTACAGTACAGCCTACATTTTTCGGATTAGTGGACATGATATGTACATATGTCTGATTTTCCACCATATGCGTTTATCAGAGCCGTGATAAGGCACCCCAGCGAGTCCACGGACGCTGAAGCGGTGGTGGCGCCTAGCCTTCAGGGATCCATCCGCCCACCTGGTCTGCTTATATGCACAGAGTCCAGAACCAGCGTGGCATCACTTGAGACTGGACGAGTTAGGCAGTCTCTGTGTCCCGCCTTGCGGCTTCGCATCCTTCAGTCACCACCGCTGCCGCTACGCTTCATAGGATCAAAATGGCCTTTCCGTTCAGAGGGATAAACAAGACGTACTTGGCTATTTTGATAGTCTGCATAATATTTATTTCCTGCCTCGGCGGACCCTTCACCTCGTATCAGCCAAAAGTCGGGACGGTGGAAAAGTTGCTCTACCGGGCTACTGGCAACAACAACACCAACACCAACAACAACCGCACCGTCCGCTCTTCTGACCTTGAACCTGGCGATGTTATCGAAGACAACGATACCAGTCCCACGCACGGGCTCTTCAATTTCTACTCGGGCCCATGGGATCCTCCTGGGGTCTCAGATCTGAACGAAGAAAGGATGAGGATTATCGAGCCGTACATCAAAGCGATCACCGACCCCAAGGATAGACGGTTCCCACGGCTGCGATGTCCCATGCCGATGAGAGAACGGTATGAAATTTTCCGACGCCGCAGAAGCTTTGGGACGAGATGGGACTCGCCGCCGAGACGGTGGTTTTTTGCGCTCAACGTCCACCAATGCGCTCCCGTCCTGCCACGGCTACTGGCGTCCGTCGTCGAAACCATTCGCTTCCTTCGGCCAGAAGACTGTATCTTGTCGATTGTCGGTCGCCGTTCCAATGACGGCACGCTGGAGATCCTGGAGAAAATTCGAGATGAGATGGAGACTTTGAATGTCACCTATTACTTCAGCACAAGCGACATTGACCCGTTTAAAGAAGGTAGCGACTATATCACTGAATGGGCCGCTCTGCGAAACCTGGCACTTGATCCACTGGTGCGACAGCCGGAACTCTACGACCCTGACACGACGGTCATCTTCTTGAACGAAGCAGCGTTTTGCACGGATGACATTCTAGAACTTATATACCAAAGAGTGAGTCTCCATTGGATAATGGGGGTATTCCCTCCCCTCGTACAATATGAGGCTCGAAGACACTAACGAATTTGCATCAGGTCTATCAGAAGGCCGACATGACATGTGGCATGGACTGGGCCAACCATGGAGAAACCTTCAACGACGTGGGGGCATCTCGGGGATTGACTGGTGACATGTTTGTCAAGCCGCCAAATACTGGTGACACCAACGGCACTCTTTTCCGCAACGACCCCAAAACGAAAACGCGATTTGAAGCGAAGCTTCCTTTCCAGGTGAGTCAACCAGTGCAGTCACTTCGATTTGTTCCGGCCGCCACGGCCAGGTCGATCTTTCGTCAGCGTTACTGACGATCATGGGCGGGGTGCTCCAGGTCTATTCATGTTGGAACGGCGGCGCAGTCTTCACGGCAAAGCCACTGTTGCGGGAGAATATTACCTTCCGCGCCTCACGGCCGGGTGAATGCCAAATGGGGGAGCCGACGCTGCTATGCAAAGACTTCTGGAAGTACGGTTACGGGCGGATCGCGGTAGTGCCGAGCGTCAACGTCGGCTACAACGACGACGAGTCGCGACAGACCAAAAAGAAATACGGCTTCGCCACGGAAATCATACAGCGCGTGGAGGCGGACCTAGACGTCGGTCGGCACAGCAAGATCCGGTGGCAGGCCGCGCCGCCAAAGACGGTCAAATGTGAGTCGGACATGGATCACCCCTCCGAGGACGAGAACGAGGTTGAGGAGGCCAAGAAGCTCGCGGCCGAGCCCTTTGCAAGCTCCGACAATGCGGACAAGGAGCCGCAGAAGAACATTGTCTATGAGGACGGTGGTGGTCCTGACCTATAAACGGGGGGCAGTCCGCCAGCCACTCAGTCGGTTAGCGAGTCAGTGAGTCCGATCAGGAATGGAAGCAGTCTGTTTATACAGGCAGCTCCGAGGGAAATACATCAATCGAATCAATCCTCCCACGCCGCGGGAAGGCCGTCGTTTTTGTTCGGCGTTTAAGAGGGCGGAAGAACTTGCTAGAGGGCACACGGCCCATGGGTTGGCTTCTTTGGCTGTACATCTATCTATACATGTCGAATCACGGGGCACACGATACACTAAATAGAAATTACAAGTCTGATGGCGCATGACATGGTTCTCTTCGTCCACATTTCTCCCGTCGATCGAGCCACGGGACCAGATCTCGAGCAGAATGAATGACATTCTCAGCTCGCGGGACATCCCAATGCAAGGGGGAACGAATAAGCTGCTGACGTTCTTTCTGCTTGGCGGCGCATACATATCATGTCTCAGAACGCCGCATTGCCGAGTCAAGGGGGTGAGTGAATGTGATGGCACTTATTGTGAAAGGAAAGGCAATACGTCCGTGCATGACAAGACAAGCTCCGTTGGAGATTGGCGTGATTCTGTTCCAATCCGAATGCTTCAGCACCTGACTTGCTAGCATCACATGCACATACAGCGCTGCTTGTGCGTGAACTTTCAACGCTCCAAGGTCGGAGTTTTGAGTTTCGGTCCTCTACTACGCGGCTGAGCAGGAAGGGAAGGGGGTTCCTTCAAACCGAAGACGTATGCTTCTCCCCGCCAGACATGCAATGCTCGCGCAGGATTCAGGGCAGAACAAGAGGAGGTTCTGGGCGAGGTGATCCCATATGAAGGAAGGGGTGGAGAGGTTTTGACACATTCCAGCGCGAGGGCCCTCACACTCACCCTCAGGCACCCCCTTGATACCTCTCCATTCAAACAAATAAGGATACGAAGAGGCGGATAGTGTATAGCAGTAGGAGGAATAATAATAACACGAAGGGGACATATGATGCAACGCAACCTACATAGATAATATCACGTCTTCCCCAACGAGCGAGCGGGCGGGCGCGCGAGCGAGGCATGCCATGTTTCCACGATTTGAAGTCGCCGGCTTCGCCATCACCCTGACGATTGTGTTCTTGTTTGGCGCGCGATTCAAGTCGCCTTCTTTTCCGGACTTTGACGCGTCGGGGCTGAGCGGGGGCTTTGGCGACGATGCACTTTCTCAGAATGGTGGTAGTAGCCGCTTCGATGACGTCCAGCCGCCCGACCAGTTCGAGGATGTCCCGGTCGCAGACCTCTTCTTTGAAGAAGACACGGCTGAGCACGGGGAGAAGAGGAGCAGCAGCAACATCGTCGACACCATGAACTCGACCCTAGGCTTTGCCAAGGTCTTTGTCATCTCCATGCCGGAGAGAAGCGACAAGAGAGACGCTTTCAGTCTTCAAGCGAGGCTGTCCAATATATCGTTTGAAGTGAGAGACGGGGTCGCAGGTGCGGATGTTTCCTTGAAGGCCCTTCCACATGTAAGAACACCTACCTGTCGACGTGACCGGCTAGAGAGCGTCGTATTCGATCGGTAAATGCTAACTTCTCGGTTTTCTCGACAGAGCTTTGCCCAGGATGCCGGAGCCACTGGGTGTTGGCGAGCGCACTTGAACGTCATGCAAGAGATGCTCCGGGATAACATCCAATCCGCCATAGTGTTTGAAGACGATGCGGACTGGGACCTGGCTATCAAGTATCAAATGATGCAAGCAGCACAGGCGACACGATTTCTTACCGCGCAGACAGAAGATGAGAAGCCACTGTCGCCGTACGGTGACAACTGGGACATCATTTGGTTCGGGCATTGCGCAGCCCAGACAGACCCTCAAAGCGACAGGCGATTCGTCGTGACGGATGACCCTACTGTTCTGCCACCATGGGCGCGCTCGGAGTTCGTGCAGCCCGACATGTCCATCTGGGAGGAAGACTCTGACGATTATTTAAACTTTCAAACCCGGATTTACTTCCGGTCAAGTTGGAATTCATGCACGGCGGGATACGCCATCTCTCTCCGGGGCGCCGAGAAGGTCGTCTTCACGGAGAGCATGGTGCCCTTTAACGATCCTGTGGATAACGGCATGGGGGCCATGTGTAACCGACATGCCCTTGATTTCACCTGCATCGCCCCATTTCCTACCGTGGTGGGAATCTCGAAACCGGCGGGGGCCTCGAATAGAGGAAGTGACATACGCGGCCTGGACAATGTCCAAGTCATCGAGCAAGGGCGGAGTGAAAGACTCATGTACTCGACCAGGCAGAATATCCCCCGCATCCTGACCGGGCAGGAAGATTTCGTCAGCGTCTTCCCGGAGGATTCTGTGCCGGCGCTGACTGTCAAGGACATTGGGCGAGGAATGGGCCATCCTGAATGGGTCTGGGCTGGGACCAGATACTTTGACGAAGAGGAATATCTACAGGGGCGCTTCGGCCAACAGGCGCAGAACCAGGAACAACAGGTCCACGTGGACAACAAAGCTCAAGAAGACCAAAAGTCTGAGGCCGAGGACTGGACGAGTCCGATCGAGCAAGAGGAAGGTGGAACCCAGAAAGATCTCGAGCCCCAGGAGACGTTCAGCTCGAGAGACCACGAAGTAGAGACTGCTGAATTCACAGGTGACCCTTCGGAGCATGACCCGGATCGAAAATGGCATGAAGAGCCTGAGGACAACACCCACCTCTCGAAGTAGTAGGAGGCCGGCAGCGAAGAATCGGACAACGCTGGAAGGACGCCTGACTCTCAGCCTCAATGACCACATCCGCTCATCCTCCTCGCGTTCCCGACAGCTATAGCGCCCATTTTGTGACGGAAGCCTGAGAGCACTGTCCTTATGGGATCGACCGTAGTGTTCCCTCAAAAACCGAGCAGTCATCAGTGGCGCGCGTGTCGGGATTTCTCTGAGAGAAGTGACGAGGCTTGTATAGCTGCCTGTCGCCGCAGACAAGATCATATTGCAAAGACTTCGAAAAGCAGATGAAGTCAAGAATTTTACAACTCAACGCGGGTTACACAGGATGTTCAACAGTCCAATGAACTCTCTCGACAAATCTTAGACTTACCAACGATTTTCAGCACCCCATGAAACAGACCAGGACAATCAAGCAACAGCGCTTAGATTGGTGCGGACCCAGAGGTGATTTCGATTCAATTACTATGACGGAATAGCAGGGCCGAAGGCGGGGCTGCGTCTTGTCGGATAGGCGGGCTCTGGAATTCTACAGCTGGTCTTTCAGTGTGCATTGACGGAGACACGGCAGTGGAGGTTTGAAGTTGCAGTAGTCTGATCTCTCCAGCAGCCAGCTCGGGGGACGGAAGACAGGGTATTTGGGCAGAGGTCCAATATGCCTGCTGTTATGATGTGGTTTCCAGCATCACGCGATACCCCAATCGCCCATCTTCCCTTGCGACTGCCTCGCGCCCTCTACTCCGTAGTCCATGCCACGGGGTCCTCCCAGGTACGCGGAATTGGGCGGCACTGGTGAAGGTCTAGGCAGGTCTGTAGGCGGGGCACGACTGTGCAATTTCTCGTGGAATCCCCAAATGATACTGCCTTAGCTTCTGTCCATTCACAGCTGCCAAGAATCAGAACCATTTGGAATTAGGTGGGAAATCTTTGGTCAAGCGACAGCAGGTTGAGGTTATAAAACGCCCCAAAGCAGATGAATATCCTGGAACCTAGCAGCCTTTCAACAGATTATTGGCTAAGCCTAACCCTACAGGGTAGGTAACCCGATCACGTTGCTTGGCACTTCGCAATTCTCCGCACAAAGCATTCTGTCACTACGAGTGGATAGATTTCTCTCCTGTATTCAATCAATCAAGTTATCATGGTCCTTCGTCCAAGGCAGATGTGAAGACAGGAGGGATCCAGTCGCAAGTTAGCAGCGGAGATCCATTCAGGTATGTGCTAAGGCGCGAATGTAGAAGGGTCGGTACTACCTGCGATTGGTTATATTCTTTGGCCCCTATCAACGCCAGAAACAGTTCATTCAGCCACAGTAAATTCGCATAACCAAGTACACGAGCCTCGACATCTTGGCACCGACCCACGCGTTCTGTCTGCATCATCTGCTGTCCGTGGTCGAGGCTGATTGCTCCCGATTGCGGTCGTCAATCAGAGTCGCAGACCGCTGTTGCAGGGATGCTATTTGTCAAGGGTTCCCGCTGAAACATGGCTTGCTCAAACCCAATCTGCCTTCGAAGCGGCTGCCTTGCGCAAAGCAACTGTGAGAAGGGAAATCCAATTCCCTCGACCTAGCCCATTCGTGTCTGGAACGGCTAGGTCGTTGCTTCTACTGATATGAGAGCTTTCACTCCGTTCATAATGCTACAAGGTCGCCCTTAAACCCTCAATCTTCGCCTCCACATGATGGACGAGAACGAAAGATGGCCTCAGGTGGATAATGGCTTTTTAGCAGTGGAATTGATTGACCGAAGAAAGATTAAAGCCCTAACCATCATACCAGCACCATGCCATCACTCAGCCTTGCCAGTTTGTTCCGACGATTACTAGCCATGCGAACTCAACCGAGATAGAAGTTCTACTTACTCGACACTTTCAACTCTCGAACTGGGAGCCAATTTTGCACACTAGCTCCATCGCTTTCACCATTTTCGTCCTCTATCTCTGCGCCCCCGAGGTCTATTTTCAAGACATCACGAAACCGAATATCAACACAATTTTAAATACGTTCCCGTTCGTCGCTGCTCTTTATAATGTGATGATAGATATTTCCGATGTCGCAATCGCCGTGTATTGTCTCAAATATGAACTCTGCCGTGGAACGCGCCTTCCCGTAGGCCTCGTGCTTGCCCCATTCCAGATTGGATCGCTGCAAATGCTCTTCGAGAGACGCTTCTGGAAGGCCGTCTTCGCGAATCGGAAAACACCAAGGATATATCTGTTTGGTGCCGGCATTTTCTTTCCGACTGTCCTTCAGGTGCTCATAGCTCCATCCTTGGCTATACTGGTTGTCCCTCAACTCGAGTGGTGGGAGTTCGATAACCCATTTGGCACTGTAGGGGGATTCTCTTATCTTAATCTGTCACATTCGAACCTCTGGCCAACAAACGTAACAGGTGCAAAAGCCAATTGTGCCGAATAATTGCAACGGAGGGAAACTCTACAACATACCAAAACATTGCTCATACTCCGACTACATTGCCATAACGAGGTGGGCTGAAGAGCATGCAAACCAGTTTGCTGATCCAGACATTACCGCCTTAACAATGAGCAATACTTTTCGAAACCTTGGTGGTAATCCTATCGACGGGCATACAGATTACTCTGTGGTTAGCACCGGGATGAACCACGTTACCCCTTCTCTCGGTGACATATTGGTCTTTGCTACGAGGAATGATGGAGTGTCTATGCGACACATCTCAGACCAAAAATCACGCTCTCGTCGCCTAACTTCTCAAGACCTATCATGAGACCCCTGGTTCAGACGCAATGCAGCTCTCCTGTCGATATCACTGATGTCTATGAAATGTTCAATGCCACATTCCCGGCCGACCAGCTCCAACCTTCGTCTAAACAAACCTTCGCCTCTAGCCTATCTCAAGTCGTCAACATAACGAGCTACAAGACGTTTTCTCCCGTGGTGCATTTCGTAAATCTCACTAAGACTGCCAGTCAACCACTGACGGGAGCGCTAGTCGGCATGAATTTCAGTGATGCGAGGAATCTCTCATTCCATCATGACGAGGCTGTTGGACTCATGGCATGTACCCTGACTGCCCACTGGGTTCCAACGACCACGTCGATAGACCCAAGCGTTGGCAATGTCGTTATACCAGACTACCCGAATCCGTTAGACATAGTCAATTCCCTAGGGCTCATGGGGCGTGCTCGCCTGATAGACATTCAACGCAGTTACACTCACAGTGTGAATACGCGGCTTGAAGGTCTCCATTTCAACGTCTTGGAGTACGAGCTTAGTCGGTTTGGTATCAAGCCAGACCCTTCATTTCGATGGGTCATGGAAGCACCAGTGGTCATGGGTAGCAGCTACCCCGCTGTCCATGCAAATGACCGATGCGTTAGCCCGGATCAACACAGAGACAACGATGTATACTTGTTGCTACCTCTGCCCAGACCAAAGTAAGTCTTACTACAAGGGAAAATCCACAGTCACGAATCTTGCCAATCAAAATGTGCCAAACCAAAACATCAAGACAGGGGCTACAGAAGCAGATTGGGCCAGCGACATCGTAACTCATCCAGACTTGTACATGCCGGTCAGCTGGACCGTCCAGCGATACGGCTACGGTTGGAGCCTGAAGGGGGCCACGGCGATCCTGGGTGCTGTTGTCCTTCTGGTCCAGGCATCCCTGACTATCGTATACCTCGTAGCCGTCATCCTTGGGAGATGGCAATTTCGAGGATGGGATTGCCTATAGGGACTTATGGCTCTGCTACACAAGTCTCCAAGCATTCCAGAGCTGAGCAGCTTGGCTATCGGCAAACCAGCGAGCAAGACCTACGAGACGATTTTGGCGATCAGAGAAGAGTCCGGCGGCACACACGCAGTGCTGACGAAGGACCTCCCAGGGAAGAAATTAAGGTTGATGTGGGGAAAATCGGGTACATACCCTGTCTCTTTGTTTATTACAGCGCAACGACGAGGCTGTCAGCGATTTGGCACTTTGTTTCCATTTCATACCCAGTACGGAATGCTGTCATTCTACATATTAGTTACCATTACCCCATCGATATCATTGATACCGCCTGTTCATCTTCCATTCCTCCTGGTGGGACGGCAGATGATGGGAGACGAGGAGCCAGCAGCCGACGTTTCGGGGTGTGATATGTCCTTCGCTTGTACCTCGGTAAGTCAAACTCGGTATCGACGAGGCTCTCAGCAGCATCTCGGCTTTACAATCCATTTCAATCCCTCGCTCCGCTCGTCATGACAATGTCCATTCCTGAACGGCTACACCCAAATCCTCCGGCACCAGGGCGGATAAATGACCAGTATTGAGCGACATCACCGCGAGAGATGAAGGCATGAAAGGCTGAAGCTTGTTATTACCACATACTCCAGCATCCGAGCATCATGGGCTCTACCAACAAGTCAGATTCCACTCCGCAGGCAACTCTGGACCATTTCCAATCAATACCATGGTGTTTGCCACACCTCGCAGACCCAGCATTCCGGCGCGTGAGCATGTCTCGCACGCTGACACAGCCGGGCAACGGCCACTCGCTGATGGCCGAGACGTGGAACACGGACAGAACAATCACACATCTCCTCTCGATGTACCGGCGACCCGACCCGGCGAGGGGCCAGACGGGCGAAGTGCGCCGCTTCTACACGTTCGGCACGGGCATGAATGCGCATCCCAACACGCTGCACGGCGGAGTCATCGCCACCATCCTCGACAGCACCATGGGGAACGTCATCGGACAGCAGCTGCGCGACCCGGCCGCGACTTTTACCGTGGCGCTGAATGTATCGTACAGGAAGCCTGTGACCACGCCGGGGACCATCATGGCCAGGTCGTGGATCACAAAGGTAGACGGACGGAAAATCTGGGTGCATGGCGTCGTCGAGGATGGCTCGGGCAACCTCCATGCAGAGGCTGATGGGATGTGGCTTCGCGCGAAAGCAAAGCTATAAGGGGGTAGACCGAAGGGGCAAGGAAGGAAACGATCATGGTAGAAATCGATTTCCAGAATTACTCCTCTATGTACAATACACTGGCCTCAAAGACGCAAGACGCCCTCGAAAACACAAAGAAGAAGACGCCCTCTATTGGCCGTGGTACGGCATGTTTGCCGGATTCGCCGTCACGTATGGCTTTACCGGCGAGTCCGGCAAGCCTCTCGATTTGGCCGTGTCCCACTTGATGTGGAATCGAGGGCCGCCATGGCCTAACAAATCCGCATCGGAAACGAGCCATGACTCCAGGTTCTGCATGAAATACTGAAAAACGGCCTCACTTTCCGCCATCCACGTTCGACAGAAGCCCTCATTCGTATTAAATTCCCATGGGTTGGGCTTGATCACCCTTCTAAACTCCCCATCTCTGTTGACCATGTTCTCATAATAGGTGCCGTCGTTCTTTTGCGCGGTTGGGTAATCCTGGAGGTACGGATCGTTAACGTCAACCCACTCACCGCAGCACCTGTCAATACCGGGACCATCGAATGTCTCATCGTAAGGGGTGGCGGGTATACACCAGAGGGCGGGATGCTCGTACGTGTCGGGTTCCAGAAAGCAATAGTTGCGCCAGTGAGCGGCCGCAACGACCGCCTGGCGGGGACAAGTGCGCGTAAATTTGGGCTTGCCGACATCGACATACACGTGGTCGTGAGGGCAACGTAGACCATTACATCCGATCCTGACTTTATGGAGTTGCGTTGGCTTTGGCATCCCACCTGGCGTACCCGGCTTGCACAACTTCACATCCATGAGGTCTTCGGTTGGGCAGACCCACATCTCAGAATCGTCCCATTTATCCCGCCGGTCGTGTAAATAGAGGGTTGAGTGGGTTGTATTTGTCTTCGTTGGCATTATGTGGTGTGGAAACGGCGAGTCGGTTGTGTTTGTCCTCGTGGGCAATATGTGGCGTGGTAGGGCAGTCACTTGTAGTATGGGGGTGAGTGTCACAGCGACAGCCAAAAAGAAGATTTGGATAGCCATCGTAGTTTGATAAGGAAGGATTTGTGTGATTGCGAGAAATATGAACCACACTCGAAGCCGATTTGGAGGGTCAAGTTGTGCCACAATGTAAGATTGAGCGGGAGTATTAGAATGCGAACTTGGTCGACTTAAATATATTCCCTGGCAAAGCTTCGAGCACCTTCAAGTTCTTCACTGACTCACCTGTTGTTGTATCCTTCACAAGGTTGCTGGCCTCCGCCTCCGTCCCAAAGGAAGCATCAAAGGGGAACCAGAGAAGGCCCTAGGACCAAAGATCCTCAGCGAATCAAGGGCTGGAGCCGGCATCTCAAAACTTCAGAATGGTTGGATCACAGAAATATGTAGAGTGACTATGAAGACTGGGACCATCTGAAGTTGAAGTCACTCTACTGGTGAGGACCTTGGCGAGGACCTGGAGGACCAATTTTGTACGGAGGAGCAGTAGCCGCAGTCGCGAACCTGTAATTGGGACGCGCTCAACGCGCTCCCTCGCGTCCTTATCCCCTCGTAACACCGCCCATATTTTCAACGCATGCCCAATACACGCAACTGAGGCCTTTCTGGTACAATTTCTGAAATACCACCGAAAATGGCCCCTCTAAAAAGTCTTCTTCGGCCATGGCAAAAGGACGAGAGATTTGACGGAAGACAAAGAGCCCCATCTTCTTACAATCCCCTCTATTCCTACCGCCTATCTCGGGGAGACACCAGGCACTACCACCAACAATTCGGCGACATGTACTTTTTGCGCTTGGCCAAACTGAAGCCTGTGGTAGAAAAGATTGCTGAAGAAGACTGGGCCGACTTTGAGATCGCAGGGGAGAAAGCACAGAGAGTGGACAGAGTGCTAGACGTCCGGCAAGGCCAATTGTGCTGGGTGGTCGGGACAATCTATATGGACATGCCTTTGAAACCAAATATTCTGGAAGACATATCGAAAGAGCACTGGGTTGCAGGCGCGCCACCACGACATTCATACTTGACTGAAGACGGGGAAACGCAGGTCATGCTGGAGGATGAATCCGGTCGACTTCGACTCGCGGGGGCAATGTTGAAAAGCAATCTGCTAGTCACCGGCGTGATTGTGGCTGTATTGGGCACTGAAACCGCAAATGGAGACTTTGATGTGCTGGATCTGCACATTCCCGACCTCCCACGACAGCCACGGAGATGGGAGAGGGACGAGGAGGAGGAGACAAAAATGGAGGTTGACCAGCAACGGAAGAAGATCGCTCTTATCAGCGGGCTTGACATCTCGGAGACTGAAGCCGACACATTGAATCTCTCTCTTTTGTCCGAGTTCCTGCTCGCGGAGGCATTGGATGAGGATGACCGACGGGAAGCCTGCAAAATCTCTCGTCTCATAATCGCGGGTAATTCTATTGTCTCCGAACTACTCCCCGGTCATCAAATGTCGATCGAAGACGGCAAGAAACCTGGCAATCGCAAGTACGGCTACGATGCAGCTTCGTCCAACCCCGAGCCAACGGCCCATCTCGACCAATTCCTCGCCGAACTTCTCCCTAGCATACCAATCACAATTATGGCCGGCGAACAAGATCCCGCAAATGCAAGCTTACCACAACAGCCCATCCATCCAGCCATGTTACCGCACTCACGACCCTACACCACCGCGAATATCGCTGATCCGGAAGAGGAAGAGCCCGGATGGCTCGACAGCGTGACGAACCCTTGGGATGGTGATGTGGAGGGATGGCGATTCATGGGCAACAGCGGTCAACCGGTCGACGACATCCTCAAGTACGTGGACTTCGGTGGCCCAGACGGAAAAGGAGCAGACGGAAGATTAGAGGTCATGGCTAGCATGTTGCGATGGCGATGCGCTGCACCAACCGCTCCAGATACACTATGGTGTTATCCATTTCAAGATCGCGATCAATTCGTCATTGAAGAGTGCCCGCATGTCTTCTTCGTGGGCAATCAACCGAGATTTGATACTTCAGTTATCGAAGGTCCTGAGGGGCAACAAGTCCGACTTATTGCGATTCCACGATTCGACGCCAGTGGCGAGCTGGTCTTAGTTGATTCAGAGACGTTGGAAGTTGAGGTGGTCAGGTTTGACATCCCGGGTTGGTAGTTGAAATGGATGATGGATCATGACGAGGCTGTCCAGCCCTCGGAAACTTTTCCGCCTTACAATGGCAAAATTTATTGAGAACAAATTCCCCTTGTATAGTACAGACGATGATTCTCGCACTCATGACGCCATGATGGATAGATTAAAAACATGCGTATCAACGAACATATTTGTGAGTACCACCCCACGTCGTCCTTATTTTGACCCCCGAGTTCTAATTATTTCTTTCACCTCAATCAGGTGTCTCCACGACGAAAGTGGTCTTGGTCCCATACTCTGCCCACCATGTGCCCAAATACCACGGATGGATGAAGGACCCTGTACGTTAATGACGCCTTCTAGCACATTTTTTTTTTACTGGCGATACCACCTCGCTCGAGATTCTCACTGGGTGGCTCGTTCTAATTGTCTTTATTGAGGGACAGGAAATCCAGGAAGCGACGGCGTCTGAGCCCTTGACTTTGGAAGAAGAATACGCCATGCAACGCAGCTGGCGCGACGACGGGGATAAATTGACGTTTATTATTTGCCGACCGCTCCACCCAAATCACAGCGGAGATCGAGATTGTCGCGGTCAAGAGCAACAGGCACCCAGAGCAATGCGGACTGACGATGGAGAAGCCGAGGGAAGAGAACAGTCTGATCCACATCATCGTGAGATTGACGCGATGGTCGGAGACGTGAACCTCTTCATCTCGACGACGGCCGTAGAAGGCGATTCTGGAGGCCGTGGCGACATCCCGATCCTCACCGGCGAAATCGAGCTCATGATCGCAGAAGCCGCCCAGCAGCGAAAGGGCTACGGTCGAGCCGCGCTGCTCGCGTTCCTGAAGTACATCCTCGCTCACGAGTCCGAGATCCTGGCCGAGTTCTTCTCCCAACATCACGTGGAGGATGGACATCATCGCAGTCGAAAGCAGCACGCCTCTTCTGCCCCCCTTGGACATTTCGACCACCTGTCCGTGAAGATCGGCAGCACGAACTTCCGCAGCATGGCGCTCTTCCAAGGCCTTGCATTCCGCAAGACGAGCGAGGAACCAAGCTACTTTGGAGAGTTTGAACTGCGCCTGTCCCGGGCGGGGCTGGTGGACTTGATTGCACGTGTCGAGGCCGGTACGACGGCGGAGGTGACGCGTCAGGGGGGGTTGCTCGAAGGCTATCGCGAGGCGGGGTATTCATGTCAATAGCGAGGGAGGGAGGAGAATGGCGGGATGGGATGGGATGGTACGTCTGCTTGCCTGCGTCTGCCTGCGTGTCTACGCCTTGATAAGGGGGAGAGTCTATATCATTGAGAGGGAAGGGCGGATAGAGCATACGTCACATGGCACAGAGGACAGAGCCTAGAGCCTAGAGCATAGAACCTAGAGCATGCACAGAGCATCGGGGATGATAGAAGCAAGTACGGAGCAGGCCTTGTTTCGTGCTCTTTTGAGTGGCGAGGCTTGGATTTTGGTTTACTTTCTTGGGAAAGGATGTCTTAAGGATGATCGCAGTCTCTCGCGGTCTACTGTAACCAGCTAACTTGATTCGTCGCATCACAACTTAGCTACATAGTAGCCAGCCCGTCGATGCATCCCCAGCAGACAAACATGCCTTCCATCTCGAACTGATTCTCTGAATCGTCCGATCAGACGGCAATGCGATGCACAGCGGCCCTTTCGGTAACGTGCAGTGGGGTTCAGTTCATTTGATTTTCATCTCATCTCATCTCGTTGCAAAGCCCAAAAATGACATAGGCTATCTTCCGTCTGCTGCCTAGTCACAACAGCCATTTTCCTGATTTGACTTCCACACATCGGCGCACAGAAAATGATCTGAGTTCTTTTGTGGCGTCATTCTCGCGTTGGTCACGGTCGACAACCCTCCCACTTCCGGTCAGTCGAAGCAAATTCGGTCGTGCTGAAGAACTTTAGTTCTTCTTAGGCTTCTTGTTTTTCTTGCCAATTTCTGTGAAGGGCATTGCTGTATGGTGGAAAGATAAAGTGTTAGCCAGTGGCCAATATCTAAGGATGATCTGGCTGGGCTGCTGGGGACCGGAATGATTCTCTGGGAACTCAAGTCCCCCGGCTCCACGAATCGAAATGTTAGGTCCTTTTCGTCTCTGTCTTCTCCCTCTCTTCTGCCAGCTAGTCTCTTCCTGCTCACTCCCCTTCTATTCTCTTCACACCAGTGGCATTTCAGATGCCCTCGGAATGCCAACAAGGGAACAAAGGATTTCGATAGCTGCAGCGGGCTGTGACAAAACTTACTCGGTGGCAAACTCTGCTTAATCTTGTCGGCCTTGTCGGAGTCCTTGAGGATCAGGGTGTACAGGTATCGCTTGCACCGGATCTTCATCTTGATGTCCTTCGATTTGGGGGATTTCTTGAGACGGGCGCCTGTATGTCGCAATAGCCGAGTTAGCAGAGGATCGCGACTTCATTGCATGGCAAATGTGCCGTCAATGCATGTGTACGCTAATGCATTGGCTTGTTGGTGCGAAGTGCCAACGCCGAAGGAACAGGGTGCGGGGGACAGGAAGGGCGGGATGCACGTCACAAAGTTACACTGTCGAACGCAGGAGGACTGCCAATTCAGGGCTTGGGTTTGAAGGGCAAGATATTGCGGGAAGTAAAGCAGCTTCGGGAGTTGCTTGCTTTCGCACCTTTGGCATCCTTTCTGCGGGCAATTTCGAGGAACTGCTTGATGTCTGTGACTTCGGAAGGCATCTTGACTGTTTGCTTTTTGAGAGGCTCGGAGGACTCGAGTGTGGTCGGTCGGGGAGAATGTGAACGTCGCGAAGGAAATGGAGCGTTGTCGACTTGGACTCGGTGAGGCGTTTCCCAATCGCAGTTTCGGCTTGGACTGTTGGTCGAAACTGAAAATGCGAATGTGGGCGGCAGATCCTCGGCAGCCCACTAGCGTCGGTGTTTGTCGGGCATAAAATTCTAAAATTCTTTCGTGACGAGGCTGAATACTACATGCCACTCACTTTTATACTGATTGCTAGCAATGCTGTGTAGCGGTGGGTCTGTAACTATTTGGGGTATCTGTTTCATGTCTATCGTCCCCGGAGACACACCCATGATACGAATCTGTATTTACTAGCTGTCCCCGCTTGTTCAAATGCACAATCCAATCTCTGCATGCCCATCAAGTGTACTCCAACTCCGGAAACTCCGATACGTCTGCTTCACGGAAGTACAGCTATTTCTTGCTCAAGCCCTTCAACCACTTCGGCAGCTTCTTTTTACCCTCTCCAGCCCCTTCACTTGTTTCCTTCACTCCCACGTTGACTCTGATGCCCGGCTCCTCATCACCTTCGACATCCACAGTCGCGAGATCCTGCACCTTCACTTCTTGAGCCTGCTCCCTCAACTCTACCTTCAGAACAGACTTTACACTTCTCGCCTGAATGCTAGCTCTGTGATCATCCCATTGAAATGTGACTAGGACGCGCCCTTTAAGCTGAAGGTCTTTGATTAATTTCTTCTCGGTGTCATCTGGAATAACTTCATTTTTCCCTCTGATACCGGGATTTCGAAGCATGAAAGCCTCTGATCGGTATTTCTCTTCTAGACACTCTCGCACAAAGTTGTACAGGTCTGCTGCAGTATCGGCGGGCTCGAACCTTGCGCTGACCGCACTCTGGTCGGGAAATCGAATCTTGATCTCAACTTCCTTTACGGCCGCCCATTTGGCCGCTTCTTCTTCGGCTTGAGCCGCAAGCTCGGCCTCTGTCGGCAATCGGACGTTTCTTGAATTCTGCTGTAACAATTTTTGGTGGACTTGAGCGTGTTCGACTGTGGGTGTATAGTCTGCCTCGTTGTGAGATATGAGCGCGGCAGACGGAGTGGATGAGCTCGGAGGACGGAATACAGAGACCGGACGGCTCGTTGATGAAGTTGCAGTTTCCAGTTGAGAGGGTGACGATGTGAGGGTTTCTTCTTGAGGTTGAGGAGGAGGCTGTGAAGACCTCTCTTCTTTCCATTCTGGCTGTGTCTCAGCTGATGCTGCCAGAGGCTCTTTCGAGGATGAAGTCTCCTGTTGGCGGGGCGGTTGAGCGGCTGGTCCCTCGACCGACTCAAAATAACTTTGTATCTGAGCCATGGCCTCTTCGAGCGGAGTTTCAGTCGGCCGGAAACTCAACCTCAACAGGGCTGTACCACTGTTGAGACCCAGTTGTGCTAGAGACTTTTGTAAATCTCTAAACGACGCTAACTCTCTGTTCATAACCTGTATCACCGGCTGTTCATAATATAGCCTGCCCGCACCGGAATCGCCCTGGCCCACGGACGGTACTCCTCGGGCAGTGAAATTCCGGGTAGCACCTCCACCCGCGACGCCAGCTTCGAATTTCCTGAGCACCAGCCATAATGTAGTCGAACTGGGAAACTTGTCTGTGAGTCTAGCGTTGGGGACACCTCTTGCTTCGGATTCCGGTAGTTGGAGGGCTATCGAGACGACGCCGGCGGATTTGGAGAGTTGGACCAGTTCGAGTTTTGCGCCTGATGACAGGCCAGAGAGGCGAATCGTCCTAGAGAGATCGACAGGTTTATTGTTGTGTCTGCACAAGAACTGTCAGTGAATTTGTTGTCGCCGCTTGATGAGACAGCACATACTTCAATCCATATTGAGTAGCGTTGACTCCCAGCTTTGTGCAAGCCTCTTCCAGAATCTCACTGAGGTTCTTGCCGGGGGTTGTCTTTATTGTCGTCCTTCGAGCCGTCGAGTCGATCACCACGACGTGTGAAGCCATGCCAGTGTTGGAGGATCGGGCGACAGCCTGGCGGGGTTACGTGGAAAGAATGTCTCTTATGTCTAGTGAAAGGTGGGAGGTCTGAAATGGCGACTGTGATGGTACGGTATTGGAATGGGATAGAGTGTTCAATAGAAGTGTCTAGAAGTGTTTCAACTACCCAAGTAAGGCTGCCAGCGTGATGTTCATGTGAAATGGGTTGAATGCTGGTACGACTTTACTAAGGACGAGTACTCCGCAGCGGGAGGCGAAGGTGAGCAACGCACGCAAACGCAGGCAAGCAAGTGGGCGCGTCATAGCGGCAGGTATTAGCTGAGGAGGTCGCCCACGCCGCCTATTTGGTATTGGCCCCTGGAGCTTTTAGTGCCAGCTTCTCCAGTTTGAGCCTCGCTAGAATCATTTGAGCATCAGCCTTGTGCCTTCAGAAACGCGTTTGCATTTTGTGCCTGCGCATCACTCTGCCCGAGTTTTGAGATCAATAGCCAGGTCCTGTCAATCACCTCCTCCACTCGACTTCATGCTTTATTGATTGATTGATCCTCGTTCATCCTGTGCTCCCGCTTTAATCGAATCCTTTCAACAAGATGGTAAGCTCTCTTTAGAATCACGTTGCATCCACAGTTCAATGCTAACCATACACCAAAGAGCTCTCCGTTCGACATCAGTAACCTCTCTGCCTCTCCCGCTGCTTCTACACTCTCTAACGTATAACCCAGATGGCGGCGCGTGCGTTGCAATGGTCGGCAAGGACTGTGTGGCCATAGCCTGCGACTTACGCCTGGGCATGCAAGCGTTGACCGTTTCAAACAACTTCCCCAAGATCTTCAACTATGCCCCGAGCGTCTTCCTCGGACTGACGGGTCTGGCAACCGACGTACAAACAGTCAGCGACACTTTCCGATACAAGGTCAACATGTACCGACTGCGCGAAGAACGAAACATCTCCCCTCAGACACTCGCGAACCTGGTCAGCAGTTCGCTATACGAGAGGCGGTTTGGACCGTGGTTCGTGAGCCCGGTGCTTGCAGGGATAAATCACACGACGGGGAAACCGTTCATCTGCGGATTCGACAGTATAGGCTGTATTGATTTTGCAAAAGATTTCATCGTTGCGGGCACGGCCAGCGACCAGTTATTCGGGACGTGTGAAGGACTGTGGGAGCCAGATCTGGTGAGACCCATCCATACCACTCCCCTGCGTACCTATTCCCGTCTATCTATCACAGTCACAGACGCGCATCATTTCCAACGGAGCCATGCACGCCACGGCATACCGTATATTCCTCCACCGTTTCTCAAATCTCAAATCTAACATTGCTTAATCCTAGGAACCCGAGGACCTCTTTGAAACAATTTCCCAAGCACTGCTCAACGCCGTGGACAGAGACGCTCTCTCAGGTTGGGGTGCACACGTCTATATCATCGAAAAGGACAAGGTAACCAAGAGACTGCTCAAGGGCCGGCAAGACTAGACTACCAGACTCTCGATTTCGCGTAGTATGTGGAAAGGCATATTTGGCAGATGGCAGACGGTGGGTGGTATGCAGGAGATGGCAGACAGGCGAACAACGGGCATATGGCAGCAGGCGTTTCTACGGCTCCTCAATCACGGAAAATTCGTCGTTTGACATGTGTGCGCTTCTCTCCGTCTCTTTATCCCCTCAACCCCCTCTGTGTGTCTCGTGGGTCCTTACCAGGAAGAGCAGGAGGAACAAATGAGCCCTGCCAGTGAGACCGCCAGGCTCCACCCCGAGCAGAAATAAATATGCAGACCGTCCCTGACAGATGTCAAGATGCGAAGGCGTCAAGGCGACAGACAATCAACTCCCATTCCTGTCAGCGCCCGCCATTCAAGAGACTTGGACTGCAGAATACACTACTGTATGATAGAGAAGGTGTCGTTCGAGGTCCTCTAATGGCAAATGCCAATCGAATTCGGTGTCGGAAAAGAACAAACGTACGTTCCTAGTCCAAATCGCTCGCCGTAGAAGATGTCACGGATGAAATTCCCAAGTCGTTGAGACCCTTCCTAACTAGCATTTTGATAGCTGTCTAAAGGGAATCTTGTCGTCTTTATCACGGTATCGTCGGTTTGCGTTCGATACCTACTAACAACGCTCAAGTGGCGAGGAGCTGGTGAGGTCAAAGAGACTGAGAATAGCGGTGGTAGATAGAATCCCCTTCTCATCACCACGCCCCGGCCGATTCAAGATCCTCTTCGTCTTGTTCAGTAGCCACACGCGCACTTGTTTAACTACCCATGCGACCATGAGCGCCTCAAACGATACCACAGCCCAGTCCGCCGTCAGCAGCAGCACCAGCGTCACCGGCGAAACCCAAAACCAAAACCTCGACCCCTCCGACATGAAAATCACAGTCAGCCCACAACGCGCAACGGCTCTCTGGCAAAACATCTCGTCTGTCCAACAACGTGTCCATAACGCATTGTGCTCTTCCTCATCCTCCTCCGAGAGCTCGGCGCCCCCCGTTCGCATCGTCGCCGTCTCAAAGCTGAAGCCCGCCTCCGACATTCTCTCGCTGCATCGTCCCCCACCTCTCGAAACTTCCTCCACCCAAGCAGCAGCACGCGGGCACGACCATTTCGGTGAGAACTACGTCCAGGAACTACTCGAGAAGTCGCGGCTCCTGCCCAGGACAATCAAGTGGCATTTCATCGGTGGGCTGCAGTCTAACAAGTGTGTGGGCCTGGCGCGAGACGTGGACAGTCTGTGGGCGGTGGAGAGTGTTGACAGCGAGAAGAAAGCAACGCTACTAAACAAAGGGCGAGGGGAGCGGAACGAACGGCTGAAAACACAACACGGGCAACAGATAGCGGACGGGAACCCCTTCGAGGACAAACTAAGGGTCTTCATCCAAGTCAACACCTCCGGCGAAGACTCAAAGAGCGGCCTTTCCCCAACCTCACCGGACCTCCTATCCCTCGCCACCCTCATCATCCGCCAGTGCCCG